CCCCCCCCTTTTCCTTTCCTTCCTCCCCACCTTCCAATGAGCATGTATCTGTGCGTTTGTCTACAATGTACATACATCTCGGGTGGGTTTTCGATGCGGCTTTTATCGGAACGAAGGATCTAAATGGACTGCCAGTTCTTGGGAGCCAGGGTTATCGCTGCAGGATGATGATGATACGCGCCGGAATCCGGAGGTCCGATCAGATAGGAGCACGAGCTCAATTCTCGCAAGGTTACACGCAACTAATCGGTCTAAATCTATTATAACTCGGTGGACGTCCTGAATTTATATTCTAATAAAAACCCATCGCAAGGCTCGACACTGTTGGTGAATGTTCCGAAATTCCCGAAATTTGAATGTTTGATACTTCGTATGATGTAAGGGGATATGTTGGCGGGTGGGGTGGTTATCTACAAATGCCTTTATTCTAGTTCGAACGCAATAAAGACATGCCATTAACGGCGAAATCTTACGAAACTAAGCAATTTATAAATAGGCGAATACTGTAAACATTCCCGATAAAGTGACTTATGCAAGATGTCTCTTCCGATTACGCCTGTAATTTAGATCTATTGAAAGATTACAAATATGGTTCTCCGTGAAGCACCCAGTAGCAGCGTGTCCCATTTCGATGGCGCCCCAGGCACCATCATCAGGTCGCCCGCCAATTTCAGGACCAACGAATCATCCACTGAGACTGCAAGAAACGGGGGTTATTACTGAGAAAGTAATGGTGTTTTAATGCACACTCCTCGTTTCTGACGAAGAACCGCGATAGGGAAAAGGGTGATATCCAAGTTCTTTTTTTTTTTAAATCACTGCTTCAGTTGAAGAAAACAGAATGTGAATTCCATCCTCCGTTCAACACAATCCCGATAATGCGACGATGAAAAAGTGGGATCCACAAATGAAAGTGGGTGGTTGGATGGCTCTTCTGAACCAAATATGATATATCGAAGAATAGGTATTTTTTTTTATTCAAGGCATCTTCAACTACCTTGAGACGACTAACTAGACTCGATGACAGTTTGTTACATAAAGTTCTGCGTAAAAAAAAAAAAGGAACATTCAGAATTTACAGTGCGCCGAGACGGAAAGAGGAACGTACCAGGGGCGCCTTACAAACGCTCCTGTGACGAGCAGGGAGTGTGTAGACAGTAGCCACATGTGTTTTAGTGTTAGTAAGAGTTTTACGGCACTCGCAACACAATAAGGTCATATAAGTGCCAAAGAACAGACGTGTTACAAGAAAGTAACACACACAAAAAAGACGGAGAAGAGAAAGTACGATAGATGTTTGATAGGAGAGAAGGAGCAAACCACACCAGAGCACCCGACAGCCACCCACAGTCACATACGTATACGGGGAACGCAGAGACCCCAAGTCCGAGTCTCGCAAGCAGTTTTAGTTTTAGATAAAGTTTTACGTCACTTGCAACACAATTAGGTCACATAAGTGCAGAAGACTAGGGGTGTTACAGGAGAGTTGCATACACAGTCAAAAAAAGAAAGAGGAGAGATAAGAACGATATTTGATACGGCAAAAGGAGCAAATCACATCAGATCACCCGCCAACCACCCATACGCAAGCAAATATAGATCACTTCTAATAATTTAAACCAGAGATTGAAAAAAAAACAAACCTCAAACGCCAGCACGAGATCACGTCGCTACAACTACCACCACGAAAGATCGACTAGACATTTTATGAAAGAAAAAAAAAGAATATTTGTTGACAAAACGAAAAGGTAAAGTGCATGATTTGCCTTTTAAAAAAGGGGCGGGGGGAGGAGGGGGCACACAAATACAATGTACACAAAAAACAGAGAAAGGAGGAGGAGAAGGGGGAGGAGGAGGAAGCAGCAGCAGCAGAAGAAGAAGAAGAAGAAGAAGAAGAAGAAGAAGAAGAAGAAGAAGAAGAAGAAGAAGAAGAAGAAGAAGAAGAAGAAGAAGAAGAAGAAGAAGAAGAAA